GCCAGTGTCTCTTGGTGGTGAATATCACGGTGTACATGGGTGAAAGGCTGCCTTGTGACATGAAAATAGCCCACCAGGAGGGAGAGAGACAGGGCTCTCCACAAATTATCAGCAATGGGTCAGGAGTGGGAAGCCTGCCTAGGGGGCCCCTGCTGAAGGTGGATGGGGACTACTGGAGAGACCGTCCTGAACTGTGACAGAACCAACACCCATCCCTGCAGCATAATTTTGTGCCCTGTAGGAGGTGACATTGATGAGATTTACCTGAGCACACAGCGCTTGCATCTTCCGTATGGTTACAGTTATGGTCTCCCCAAAGTCTAGACTTGCATTCGGAGAGGGAAGCTTCTGTCCCCCTGCAGCTAACGTCATCCAGCCAGATACGCTCAGAGCCTTGTCCAAATTGAGCCCCTCCACTGGCTGAGAGCGCCGTCCCACAGCCCAGCTGCCTGCACACGACTCCAGCATCAGTTAAGTCCCAGCTGTCATCACAGACTGTTCCCCACTGCAAGTTGTGTAGCACCTCAACTCTCCCAGAGCAGCGACTCGAGCCGTTTACCAGTCGGAGTGGAATCTCCCCTGGAGGAGTTGCATCTATGAACACGCAAAGGAAGAGACACTCAGATTCCGGTACGTCAGATCTGAAAGAACGCTGGGGAAAGGCATGCTTCCCTCTGATGGATCTTGCACCACATTGTTTGTGAGGTGGCTAAACCAACACTGGCATCTTCTCCATCGTTACTGGGTTGGAGACGCAAGGGTAAATGAAGGGAGACAATGTTCTGGAACAAGGACTGGTTTAAGAGCATGTTCCTGGAAATCTTGATCATCATGAGCATCTACAAGGTCATTCTGACTCCAAATGCATCTAGTGGGGTCCTTGCCCATACACAGCCCCATTCTAGTGTTTTGAGTCAGCAGAGTCTGGGATGACTCAGATGGCAAAACACCTTTCCCAGCTCCAGTCCACACCCGCTACTCCAGACAGTCATCCTCACTGGATCGCAGGGCTCACCCAGAACAAAAAGGGGAAGACATCCCCTCCCACGCTCAGTCATCCTCCCCAAAGCCTGCATGACAGTAGTGCCGGTGCCACAGGGAGGTTTTGGAGGCTGTGACCAATGGCCAGACTGGGTTAAACATACCACAGGATAAATGAGCCACATTCAACCTTAAGGGACAGACAGTAGGGAATGTGGGTGTATTTGTGTCTTTCCATGCATATTGTCAGAGGAAAACTGTAGAATCAAATGGCTCCTGTCTACACTGAATTCATCTTTGTGTAAAGTGTATGGCAAATCTTCTGTGAATGTCTGGCTCTCATGTCACTCTAATCGGTGTAGATAATTCCTGGTGAAGCTGGGGAGAAAGAGCTTTTTGGAAAAATCCAGGACTGAATGGTGGAGAGGTTGCTGGAAAACTCCACAAAGACCTGATCCTTTTTCCTTTTTTTATCTGTCTTACGCTTTATCTGGGAATGTTTTAAGCCATGGCTATGAGATCTCTAGGCCTGCTTGGATCCCTCCTGAATGATCAACACTCGACTATAATCTATAGGTTAATTCTGTACACACTTTTTGCACCTCCAAAGCTCAACATCTCGAATGGCTCTCCTGGGAGCTGGTCACAGAGACACCAGTGACTCAGAGCAGCGAGGTTTATTGCTGGATGTCTGCCTCCTCCCAGGACAGGATACAAGCACTATTCTGGGATGCAGTGGTCGCTACAGATTCTACGATGACAGCACGCAGCGTGACTCAGACCTGAAGTGCTTATCTTAGTTATTATGTCATTTGCTAAGAAAGAGCTGAACTCGGTGACAGCTTAACTTTTGGCAGTGATATGTAATCAGTGTCTGCAGAGAACTAGGCCAGCCTTTTTAGCCAGTGTCTCTTGGTGGTGAATATCATGGTGTACATGGTGGAGACGGGTCTTTTGACATGGAAATAGCACAGCCAGGAGGGAGAAAGCAGGGCTCTCCACAAATGTGTGCTGATGGCTCAGGAGCCGGAAGCCTGCTTTTGGGGCCCTTCCTGGATATGGACGGGGAGTGCTGGTGAGAGTGCCCTGAACTGTGACAGAAACAAGACCCATCCCTGCAGCATAGTATTGTGTCCTCTAGAAGGTGACAAAGATTTGGTTACCTGAGCACACGGCACTCGCATCGTTTGTATGGTTGCAGTTATGTTCTCCCCAAGGTCTAGAGTTGCATTCAGAGAGGGCATCTTCTGTCCCTCTACAGCTGACGTCATCCAGCCAGATACGCTCAGAGCCTTGTCCAAACCAAGCCCCCTTTGGAGCTGATAATGCTGTCCCACAGCCCAGCTGCCTGCACACGACTCCAGCATCAGTTAAGTCCCAGCTGTCGTGACACACCGTCCCCCACTTCTGGTTGTGCAGCACCTCAACTCTCCCAGCGCAGCGACTTGAGCTATTCACCAGCCGGAGTGGAATCTCCCCTGGAGGGGCTGAATCTAGAAACCCCCAAAGGAAGAAACACTCCAAGTGAATTCACTGCTTCAAATCACAAAGACTGCTGGCGAACGCGGGTCCTCCCTCACATGGATCTTGTACCCTTTCACTTGTGAGATAGATAAGGGTTACCTGAGGAGCCCAGGCTGCCATCTTCTCCAGGGTTATAGTGCTGGAGGTTCAAGGGCAAATTCGGTGACTCTCCATTTTTAAGCAAAGACAGGTTTAAGAGCCTGTCTCTGGACATATTAGGCCAAAGTTTCTAGTCTTCGTGAGCATCTACAGGGTCAATCTGTGTCCAAATACACCTAGTGGGGAACCCTCTTTCTGTCAGGCTCCATCTTCCATCCAATAACCAATTGGCACAGAATAGAGGCAGTAACTGCTGAATCTGCAAATGCCTGAGTGGGATACTTGAGCATATATCCCGTTTTCACTGCAACAACCCCCTTGGCAAGCCCTGTCTCAGTCGTCCCTGTTTCTCTAGCAGAAGTGAGCATTCACTCCACTTACTTGGGCCAGCTTGGTTGGCTGGC